GATGCGACGAATTGAAAGGATGAGTGGTAATGTAAAAGAACAGCTACACAATGATATTAGTAGATGTGTTTGTTTTTCCCTTCAGTGTGATGAATCGACAGATATAAGTCATACAGCACAATTACTTGTTTTCGTTTGTATGGTTTTTAAGGATTTTACATCTAAAGAAGAATTGTTTATTATGATTTCTTTGAAGGAAAGGACTAGAGGTGTAGACATATTCAAAGTCCGTAAAAACTTGCTCAATGATTTGAAATTACCACTTTTTAAATTAGTCTCAATAACAACGGATGGCGCAGCTGCAATGATAGGTAGCATAAATGGATTTATAGCCCTATGTCAAAAGGAAAATTAATTTAATGCCTTTTTAAGCTATCACTGCATAATTCACCAGCAAGTGTTAGCTAGCAAGAGACTAAACACAGAAGAGATAATGGACATAGCATTTAAAATTGTTAATTCAATTTGAGGAAGTTCCCTCAAACGGCGTCTCCTCCAACTGCAGCTCGTTGAAGGCCAACCTGAATTATTATTACATACTGATGTGAGATGACTAAGCAGAGGTAAATTTTTGCAGTGAGCTCGTGATTTATTGCCTGAAAGTATAGATTTTTTTCACGAACACGATGGAAACTGAAAATTTAAATGATGATGAAACTGGCTTATTGACTTAGCTTTACCGATTTTATTCAATATTAACCCATATAAATTTAGAATTACAATAGAAAAATAAAATAGTAATTGATATGATCTGCTGCATAGACGAATATAAAACAAAATTTATTTTGCTAATAAGAGATCTGCAACAAAATAATCTGAATCATTTTCCAAATATGGTGAATTACCTATAAAAACATATAAATATTAACTATAAGATTGACAAATATGTCGCAGAAATCCAAAAAGTAATTGAAGATTTTGAGATAAGATTCCAGGATTTAGAAAAAATTAAAGGAATTGTGGAATTCATACCTTTTCCCTTTAAAACAGATTTAAGTGTGAAACGCATTAGTAAAAAAATTTTAGACATATTTCATATGGATCAAAAGACATTAGAAAGTGAAATTACAATTTTATAAGCTGACTTAATCTTACAAGCCCGAAAATTTGAAGATCTTTGGAAATATGTCGACCAAGAAAAATATCTCAGAATCACCAAATGTAGCGAGTATATTTATTCTTTTTTCGGATCTACATACTTATGGGAATCGGCATTTTCATACTTGAAAAGTAACGAAGACTAAACAACTTTCTGTCCTGATTGATTCCCATATTGAAGATTCATTATTATTATCTTCGTCAGGATATACACATAATTATGATTCCTTGGTTACGGACACGCAAACTCAGTCTTCCCATTAATGTTAAGGCAACAATGTAAATTCTAAATCTGTCTTTATCTGTAGCTACTTTGAATTAATAAATATTGTTAACAATTATCCATGTTCTTCTTTTTCCTTTGACATAAGATTTTGGGATCTTTAAGTAATTATTGTTGCTGTTTTTTTTACAAAGGTAGAAAAACATTCATATCTATATTTCAGTACGAGGTATGCTCAGAGAGCTATTGATAAATTAGCAAAAAGTAAGTTATGTTATTCTTTCATGATAAATTCTCCTGGCCCAAAAAAGTGCGAAAGTGAAATATAAAAATCAAATTATCAGCCATACTGTGCATTTTTACAACTTTTTCATATTAATGAACAAATAGTACAACTTATACATGGCAATAGATAAAAAGATTAAATTGTGTTTTAAGTTAGAAAAAATCCATCTTGAAAAAGTGTAGGAAAACAGAATTTTTTAGGTACTTCACGTATGGAATGCTGCTATTAAAATTTGGGTCTGGAAATTAATTTTCTTCATGAGCCTGTATCTCGAAAACTTAATAAGTGATTAAAAAAAATTGAATATATATTTTACTTACCTACCCATACCTCACTGGAATGCACCTTATACTGAAACACAGTGTATAAACATAGTATTTGGACCTTCTCCCCCCCCCTTAGACTACACCTATGACAACAAGTCGATCATGACACACTTTTAAGATAAAAAGTAGATCTTATATATGAAAAAGTTGGCCACCCCTGGCATTGTTCTAACATAGGTATTTTGACACAAAATCGGATTTTTTCTGAAATAACATACCAATATTTTTTCATATTTCGATTCTACGGCTCAAATTATGCTTAGATATAATATTTTATAAAATTTGGTGACAAAATTTAGAGAGGATTTCAGAAATTGATCATGGCGCAATTTTTTCAGTTTGCACCAAGAATAATTCATTTTGCGAACTTCTTAATATATAGCAACCAATTTTCCTTTCCCTTCCATTATGTCAGAACAGAAAAAAAAGGCACCTCGTTCCTACCTTTTTACTATCATATTTTCCTACCATATTTCGATTTTACGACTCAAATTATGACACAGTACCAAGTTTTGTTAAAATTACACGAGTAGTTTTTTAAAAATTAGCTCCTCCATGTCAATTGAATTTGGTATGTATTTATTCGTACCTCTTTTTTTTATTAAACTTATTTGATTCTTCCTTTCACATTTCTAAATTTAGGTTCATTCCAAATAAAATTCGCCCATTTTTTATGATTTATTTTTTAATTTGCATTTAAAAATAATTTTTATAAATTTTTAGAAAAAAGTTGAATTATAACCTGTAAAATCTATACCATCATCTTAAAGTAGATGTATTTTTAAGTAAACCTGTAAAAAATAAGTGTTTTTTATTCAAAATTTCCTAAGATACACTAAATTTGCATGTTGGTGCGATTTGAAATATGTCATATTTGTTATAAGCGATAATAACGTCAAATGTGTTTTATGCACTTCGTTAATATTATTTGAAAGCAATGAACGATGACCTTTTTTCCGCTTCAGTACAATGAAAAAACAAAAAGAAAACAGGTTGCTATAAGTTAAGAAGTTAGCCAAGTGAATTATTCTTGGTGCAAACTGAAAAGAAAAAAGTCCCAAGATAAATTTTTAAATTTCTAACTAAACTGTACAAAATTTAATATCTAGACATAATTTGAGTCGCAGAATCGAAATATGGAAAAAAATTGGTACATTATGGTATGTTACTAATATGGATCCTAAGTCGCACTTTTGAGACACTGAAAAAGGAAGTTAAATTTCAACAATCAGTCCAGTTGAACAGGAGATACAGAATTGTCCCTTTTTTGTATGCAAAGTGTACATTAGGTTTCCAGATATTTCTTTGGTTATTGACATATCCCAGTATATGTGGGAGAAAACTTGTTGTTGTTTGGTTACATTATGCAGGATTTAGACAACCTCAAATGCAGGATTTAGACAACAGTGAAAACAATATGGCTATCCAGTACACCAAAACACATCAAGACATTCACGAAATCTGCATCATGATAAGTTGTATCTTGTATTGCTTAAAGACATGGTCCAACTTATTGATCACATTGCATATTCAACCACTGTTGCTATATTAAATTTTTGGAATTAAAATCACTTCTTTAGAATGGAGTCACTTATCGATTTCCATTACATTCTTTTGCATTTTTTTTTTACCTAAAGAATATAAATGGTTTAAAAAAAAATTATGAGAGAAAAAAATAACACACACACAAAAATATTGTTACGAAATGTACAGGCGAGGTAAGATGGCTTCCCTGCAAAGCAGTTTTAGGGTTGCCATAAAATGGCAAGGGAAGGCAGGGTTGTCATGTTTGCCGAGAAATACGGACGGTTGGAGAACCTTCTGGAACAAATTCTTACCGGTTTAGCCCAGAATGTTCTCGAACACCAGCCAAAAGCTATATAAACCCTGCTGGTACGCGGAGAGTTGGTGTGTCTCTCATCGAGTGTGTGCATCTCGTCTTGCGAGTCAATCCCTGCGGAGTCGAACGCGTTAACAGCTGTCCAGCGAGTGCCGAGTGGGTCGTCGAGTGCACCGAAAGAGTCTCGTAGAGTATTGCGGTTAGTGCATCACCGAGAGAGCGTGTTGAGCTCCGGATACTACTGAACTGAGAGTCAGGAGCTGTGTTCTGTGTGTCGTTGAGTGCATCGCCAGTTGTTGCATTTTTTTTTATTCTTCTGACTCCAGTTGTTACATTATTTTCTTCCTTCATGTTCGTACGGGGTTCGTAGACTTGGAGTGAATAACGACGACACTTGATGAAGTATCGAAACACACTTTATTTATCAATATTAATCAGGACAGCTCCAAAACACTTTTACAGTCGTCGAAGATCTACTATAAACACGCTGGAACAATCAGTAACACGGCCTTCAGGTTATCAGGCTATCACGGTGCAGACAGCTTCCTGCAAAGCACCCGACTCTTCTTTCCGGAGTACAGCTCTGCTACGACTCTGCTTGGTCGTTCTCGGAACACTACGTACCCTCGAGACTCTCCACGCTACAACTCATGATGCACTCGACGACACACAGAACATAGCTCCGGAATCTCGGTTCAGTCGTTTCCGGAGCTCAACACGCTTTCTCGACGATGCACTAACCGCGATACTCTATGAGACTCTTTCAGTGCACTCAGCACTCGCTGGATGGCTGTCAACGCGTTCGACTCCGCAGGGATTGACTCGCTAGACGAGACGCACACACTCGATGAGAGACATACCAACTTTCCGCATACCAGCAGGGTTTATATAGCTTTTGGCTGGTGTTCGAGAATATTCTGGGCTAAACCAGTAAGAATTTGTTCCAGAAGGTTCTCCATCCATCCATGGTATATCGCCAATTTTGTCACCAAATATGGCAACCCTGCCTTCCCTTGCCATTTTATGGCAACCCTAAAACTGCTTTGCGGGGAAGCCATCTTACTCGTGCCTGTATATTTCGTAACATGCTTCCCTTTGAAATAAATCCTTCCCCCCCCACGAAAATAAGCATATTTTCCCTCAAATTAAAATAACATATTTCGTCTCGATGTTAAAATAAATATTTATCCTTTTCAAAAGCTAAATCAAATTCACAATTTATCTTACTTCTTTAGGTATACTGGAGGCTACTTTGGCAAACACATGCACATTAGATTCGTTAATGATTGAAGTAAGATATATACAAGAAGATTCTGGGGACATCACCATCTTGTAATCAATACCTAAACAAAAAATAAAACAATAAATGGAGACACAAATAAAATTTTAATTCAGAAATGGACAGCAAAAAGTATCTCTAAAAATAAACAGTACTGCACTAGTAAAAAATATTACATCTATAACAGAATGCAGCAGTGGCATTGGTATAGGGTGTTACAGGAAAGAGGCGAGAGAGAGAGAGAGGAAAAAGGAGATAACCATCTATTATTATTACCAGCCAGTCACCTAAAATAGTTATAAAAAAAAGAAAAATTTATGGTATAAATTAGTCTAATTAATTTCACTAAACCTCAATAGAATAATTTAATAAAAATATTTAATAATTTTAATAATTAAACAATAATATTGCTTTTTTGATCAATCATTCCTGTCCAGCGATCCTAGACTTTAAATGCAATAGAAATTATACAGTGAATTTTAGTAAATAGGTTATACAATTTCATTAATATGACAGCCACTTTTAATTTTGCTCCAATAAGACTTGGATTATGGGAAAAAAATTTTCAATACATTTTATTATCCAGTGCACAAAAGATCTTATTATTTAATAAATAAATACAGAATATGAAATATGAATCAACTTGTTTCTTTCTTTTAAACCTCAATTATATTTACAGTATTTTTGGTATGCCATTCTGCATTTCAGCATTACCTCAAATAATGATTGTTTAATTTAATTTTGCTTTTGAATTTATTGAAGAATATGATGACAGGAGACACAGTTATCATTTTGTAGCAATCAACATTTATATAATTTTTTTCTTTCTATCAATGCAAAGGAATCTCCTGATTTTTTCTCAAATAATAAATAAATTAATAAAATAAAAAAAAAGCAGCTTAAACCAATATTTTCATAAAACACATGGTTGCCATTCAAACAGGAGAATGAAGTTCCCTGACTTTTCCAGGTATGTTTTAATAAAATTTCAGTGTACGTGTTAAAAGCAAATTAATTACAGTACCATTTGAAAACAGAAAAATACTGAACAATACTTGCATACTAAATCATTATTCTCTTCAGCAATCATCAGCTGTATCACAAAATTAGTTAAGATCAAATAAATTTCATTTTTAATGTACAGCAAAAATTACCTCCACACCAGCTACCCAAATGATGCTCATGCGATACATTATTTGCCAAAAAAGTGATTGTTTTCAACCTTGGTGGGAACATCCCTTTTTTGAGAATTGAAGTATAAAATTCCCTGACTTTTCCAAATTTTGACTAAAATATTTCCAAGTAGTGTGGCAGAGCTTCCCCTCACACAGGAGAGTGAAATTCCCTGACTTTTCCCAAGTTCTCCAGGTGTGTTTTAAGAAAATTCCAGTCTATCTGCGTAGGCTGTGCTGAAGATAAATTAATTATAGTACCAACTGAAAACACAAAAATTTGCCAATTACATATATATTACTACTATGATCACAGATGATATGGTGGCTTCAACTGAAAAATTCTTGAGAATGGAGACTTCACCATAAGAACTCTTTCAAACGAATTTGCTGAAGTGTCTAGGTCTGTACTGTACAGGATTGTATCTGAAAATTTAAGGTTTAAGAAACTGTAATGAAGAAGGTGGCGCCATGTTGAGTCAAACCATAATGGGAAATAAAACATGGGTTTCACACGTCAGATCCGTTACATTGCCTAATTTAAATTACTCTGCATGCATTTTATGTGTTTTTTAATACTTTACATTCACTACAATAATTAATAAATAATAGGTAATATATTTTTACAGTACATTTAAAATGAAAAATGCAGATGTTTTCTAAAAAGCGGGACATTTTGAAAAATCGGCGGGACGCGGGACAGTCCTCCAAAACGCAGGACTTAGCCTAAAGGGACTTTTCTTTTAATGTTTTGAGCATTACTTTTATTTATTAAATATCATGTTCTTCACACTTAAACCATAAATCAATTCAACACCAATATCATAAATATTTCAAAGAGCATATCTTCAGAATTTCCGATGCACAGTCTCGTGCGCTGGAGATAAAAATCCTTTATTATTGATGGCTCTAGGTATTGTTGTTTTATCACAATGCAAGAAACCTACATACATTTATGCAGATTCTTCCTTATTTAATTTCTTTAAATATAATACAGGGTTTTAATACTTGGTGGCCAACAATTTAAAAAGTGATTCGCCATTTACAGTTAATCAACGCAAAATACCAAAACGAAATTAATAGCCCATCTGGAAAAATTGCCACTTTGGGCTCAAAAAAAAAAAAAAAAAAAAGACATTTAGCATATTTAAACAAATTTTATTACATATTTATAACATATTTAAATGCTACTATTATTAGCATGCCGTAGAACATCTGCTGAGAATGAAAAGTCAATTTTAAAAGTATATACATACACACTTAGATAATACCATGTACAAGTAAATATATGCACATATCAAAAATAATACAAAAGATTACAAGAGACTGAAAAATAATAACTCATTTTTAGTGAATTTTAGATTAAATAAAATAAAAGCACACCAATCTAAACATTAAAATTAAGAAGATTACATTAGACTGATTTTAATTTACAGAAAATTTTTATGCATTTCACACTTCATTAGAAGGCAAAAATAATTAGCTTTTAAGTTAGTTATGGTATACAAAGTCTTACATTAGCTGATAGCAAAATTTTTTATGCACATTAAACAAATACTGTAAAACATAGGAAGTTATACGTACCTTTCATGGCTCCTGTTAATTTATTGAGCAATTTTTTATGAAGACTTGGCTTTAATTTCATATCATCTTCATGATCTCCACAGTCTTCAAGCAATGAAAAATACAGATGTAATTTATCATGGTCTCTGCCATCAATATTTGGATATACACAGTTCCTTAGTCTGGATTCAAAAGATTTCTTATGTTCTAAAAGTTTCTCTTTGAGCTTAAGCTTCTGGATTCGCTCAGTAATGGCAGATGCAGATACACTAGAATTAAAAACAATAAAAAATCCAAACCAGAAACCAGGACTTTACAAAACCAGAAAAATATTACTCTGTGTACAGTATGTGGAAAATGGTTGTGGCAAATGAAGAAATAGTACACTAAGTACATGGAATAAAAAATTCATATTTTGTGACATTTTACAAAATAAAAAAGGCCCACTAATGGCCAAACACCTGAATGCTGGTCTTTCTGACCTGGGTTTGATTCTAGGTGAATAGGTTGGCTGCATGGACCTTTTCATAAATTTCCCCATTTGTAACACATATGCGAGCCAATTTTCTTAGACTAACCAAAGCAAACCAAAATTAAAAAAAAATATTATTTATGCATGTTGTCATGTATCCAGCATATTGGCATAAGACATTACTATTTTCTAATTTATCTTAAAATGTTTTGACACTTTATGATCTAGAAAGTAGTAATGGCAGATGCAGATATACTATATGAGGTAACGGCAAATGCAGTATGCTGAAATAACTAAAAGTAATTCACATTCTGTGAAATTTTACAGAATTAGGAAAGTATTATTCTTGAACGTACGTTGTTAATATGAACACATTAAAACACCTGAGTTAGAATATCAGAACTACTATTTCTCCTTATCTGCTTCACGAACATGCAAGTGTCCTTAATAGAACAATGAGTTTATCTAAACTATGTTCTTTTTAACAGTGGAAGAGATGACAAGAAAGGGAAGGGATTACCTTTATTCTTCACAATTTACAAGTGCTCCCACTCTTCGGGATACAAAGACCACCACTTGTGGTCTGAAAGTAAGAAAATAAGAACTACAACTAACTAAGTTTAAATAAGAGCTAAACTTTACACAGACTAGTAATACTATGATTGGCCTTTTAGATTTTTACGTATGTAGTATGCAAACTGCGGAAAGACCACAATATGTCTTCAATATCAGGAAGATTAAACCTCTGGCCTTAAAGGTGGACAGCAACTGATTAAAAGCACGCGTGAAATAAAGTGGCAAGAAGGCTCACTCTCTCTCTCTCCTTCTAACTCTACTTGGCAGAAAGCCATAACTTAAGAGTTTCCAAGCACAATTTGCATAAACAGAAAAACTCGTTTATTTTGGCCGGAAGTGGAAAATAAGAGAGGACAGTAAAGTTTTAAAATAAAATAAACGTTAGTAAAACATAAGATACTTATAGGAAAAGTTTCAATGACACTGATAATAACTGTGTTTTGAAATAATTACATCAGTTGATAGTGAATTTGTTAAACAAATAACTTATCCAAATTCTTAAATACTTCTATGTGTTGATTACAAAATAAAAATCAGATACTTTTCCTAGCCACTATAATTTTTTTTGTAATATGAAATGACTTTTCATCACACTCACCACGTTTGTTGCTCAGGGCATTTTAAAATGAAAAGTATACAATAATTCCCATTTCAGATTTCCTTCACATTCCAAATAACAACTAAACTAGAATTTAAATAAAACAAGTTTGATTAGGTAAGGATTTGCCACAAATTAGCAGCTAATTTTATAAATTATTTTCCCAATTCTATTCATTAGGATAAAGAACGACACAACTATAACACTAAAAAGAATTTAAAAATGCTCTTTTTATGTACCATTGCAGTGAAATGATCAATATATTCCACTGGAAAACGTGTAAGGTTTTAATTTGAACTAACCAAATTTCTTTTTATTTTAAGTTACCCTTTCCTGTAAACTCTTATTTCAACTTCCCTTCAGAATGAGCGCATGGTTCAGCTTTATGCTAATTTGGGTTGGAGCCAAGTTTTGTATTTAAAGGTTAGTGAGGAACTTCTCAAATGTGAGAGAGCTTTTAGTCTCAGACCACTTCGGCTCGATGGACGTTTGCTAGATTAGTTAGTATTTAAATTCTTATGCCTTAGCACTATTACTCTAATACTTATTGAAGTGATTTAAGTGCATTAGTACTTAGCTAAGGCTTGCTACGCACCATAGATAGGCCAATCTCGCGTTTAAGCTCTGTGAACAGCGACTATTTAAATGTCTACTTAAGCTTTATTTTAAATTATTTGATTGTTCAGTTTAGACCCAAGCGCGGTCATTATTTTTCTGTTATCATTCCCAAGCTGGGAGTTGCTGTAAATAGTGATTTAAATAAAAGGGTCTTTTACAACCTTCTTACGTTGTAGTTCTTCTAGCACTCACAAGAACATAGCTGCATTTAGCTCACTGTTTGAGATCAGGACCTTGATACTGTCACCATTATGTTTGCCAAGAGTACGCATAGAACACTTAGTCCTGACAAACGGAAGACTTAGATTTAGTTCCTGATGCAGATACAGTTGATCTTTGAAGACATTCTAGTTCAAACAGAGGTGCAGAAATTAGAGTAATGAAAAAATCTAAAATACAGTGGAATGATATTCCCTATATAGTTTTGTGATGAAATAAAATGTAAAAAATTAAAAGCACTCTTCCATATATTCTAGGAATGTAGTCAGAATTTGATTAAGACCTTTTGAAACATTAAGCATTTAAAAGATTGGTGTTTTGCATATCGAAATATTAAAGAAGTAAACTATACAACAGAATGTTTTTGCGGTCCACCTTCCTTTGATGCCCAAAGAGATACTTTTCTTAATGGTTAATCTAACCCTGGGCATGGAAACAAACGCAGCTGAGCAAGAAGCTACCAACTGCAAGGTCTGAGTTCAGTTGACGGTCGCAAATGATATTTCATAACGTCCTGCATTTATCAAAAAATAAAAAAGGTCTATGCCTGAACTAAAAATTGTGGACCATGATTCATTACAAAGTTGATCTGTCAAATATGGAATTCCTAGTTCTACTTTAAGGGATATAAGAAATCAAACACATTTCTCCAAGCGTTCCTGTGGTGTAGTTACCAGTGCACAATGGTTGATTTCATTGAATGGTAACAATTGGATGATTTGATTTCAAGACTCATGAAACACAGAGTTAATATTTCAACATTTTCTGCTCTGAAAAACTCAATGACTGAAAAAATTATGAAAAAACTATGGAGATAGCTAGAATAAAAATGTTTCTTTACAGGCAATAAATGCTTAAAATAAGACTTTGTAGAGATTTTAAGGTTTTCTTGAAGCAGCAGCCATGAAAAATGAGGAATGCCCTCGCCGAGACTCGTACCTGGACCCCTCAAATACATGCCGAGTGTGCTAGCATTACACCACAAAGGTATGCAGAAAGGAAGAAGAAAATACCTTATGCACCCTTTTAAACTGCGACTAGGGATTAGTTGCCCTATTAAAGTGCGACTGAGGATTAGGGGACCCAATCACCAAATCCTGGTGGTGAAGAATTATCATCCACAACCTTTTTAGTTTGGGTGCCACTATAGAGTCATTAGGATTTTTAGAAGCAGGAGACATGAAAAATGAGCAATGCCATCGCTGGGACTCGAACCTGGACCTCTCGAATACGCGCCGAGTGTGCTACCAATACACCACAAAGGCACGCAGAAAGGAGGGAAAATATACCTTATAACTTTAGTGCCTGCTATTCAAAATATAGATAAGAATGCACCTTTCCTTACATACCTAAAACATATGCTTATTTCACTGGATGGTTAAGACAACTAAGGCTGGAAGCTGGGAGCTTTTGTGGTGTGATCAGCACATTCAATTGGCAACTGAAAAACTTGGATCACATACCCAGCTATGAGATAGATGAATTTACCAGATTTTCTAATCCCAGAAATTTAAAGAACCTTTAATGTAAATATGGCTAAAAACTGCACAAATTTTTCAAATACCGAAGAAAATTATCTAAGATACGAAGCTTTTTCTAACTAATATTTAAGGAATATTAAAATATTTTGATTAAATTATATAGAAAAAAATTTAAAACTTAACACAGAATAGATATGATAAAACTTAAAATATTTACCTCATTTCCGAAAACAAATATTCCAGATGAGTCATGTATAAATCCCAAAGTGCTATATTGTAATGATGAGTTAAAGACACTGCAGTATGGAAAACATTATCATCTAGTGTCCTGAAATGAAAGTGCATGAAAGTGCAAGAGATAAATATGAGTTGGTAAATATTTTTATAGATAAATCAAGAAATTTTTTGTGTGTATTGAAAAACTATTTGAATAAAAAATGCCTGCAATTATAAACAAATAATATAATTTTTCAATATAATTAAAAAAGAGAGGGAGGAAGTATTATATAAAAGAATCCAATATATATATATTTTTCATTTTACATGACTTTTTTTGGCAATAATTTTTTCCTTTCTTGTAAAAAACTGTATCATTACCAGAGGTTCAAAATGGTTCTGCACAACAGAAAAGGTCATACACAAATTGCCATTAAACTTCACTGAATTTCAGGCACAGTACATTTTTATTTTGCAATATTTTAGTTCAGCAAACAATAAATTTTAAGTAAAAAGCTTTTTTTATTTTTCGAATGACAACTAATATGTTTATTCTTGAGAATTCCTGGAAGGGAATTTCAAATTTTAAGTGGTAAAATTATTAATTAAAAAATTGCCAAATTTTAAGAGAGTTAAAGTTTTCACCATAAATTGTGATCTTACAATTATCAGACCTAATTTCTCATTCAGTCTTGTTCATATAAAATTATTCAAATAATTGATGCTAATAAGAAAGGCAATTAATATAATTAAGCAAATAAAATACTTACTAATATAAAATTAAACTTACATTGAGATGCCCAGAATAGTATCTTTTTTGTACACATCATCTTTAGTGAATCGTGTGGCATCTACGCCTCCACCAATACTGTGCAAAATTTCAGCTTGAATAAAATCATACAACAATTTATTGTATTTTTCAAGAAGATCCCAAGACTTTTTATTTACTTCTGAAGCAGTTTTAGAATTCTTCATATCTAAAACCTGTATGACCAAAATTAAAAGGTAAACCAACTCTGCATACAAAATATGATGCACATCAGTTTATGCAAGATATTTAATTAACAATGCTCTAATGTTACATATTCTTTAAAAACTGTATTGAAATACTTTACATCAACAATAAAACAATAACATACAGAATGCTTCTTTATTAAAAAAAGCCACAATATTTTCTCGTAATTAAATTAGAATTCATAACAGAAATAAATATAATGCAACAGAAATTATATTACCTGAATTATTTTTGAATATTTTTTAAAATATTTTTTTGAAACTGAATCATGTACCATAATTTCAGTTCAAAATCTTACATTACACTTTTGTTAATTAAACTGAAAATAACAACATATTGCTACCAGCTACAATTTATCATTTAAATTATTATTGTCTACATAACATAAAGTTAGTTTGGAGCAATGTTATGCCAATGTAAACAGACTAGACATTTGATGTAACATATTTTTATGGAATACACAGATAAAGATATTAATACTGCAAAAGGATAACAAAATAAATAAATAAAAAAATCATATTCTTATAAATTATGAACTAAAATAAATAATCCTATAAATTATAAACTAAAAGCAATTACAAAATTCCTATTATAAGGCTTCCTGAATCAAGCACCAATTTTAATTACATATAATTCCAAATAGATACAGTTAACAAATAACAGATAATCTGAATAACTTTTCTGCATGTACGTAATTAGAAACAAAGAACAAGGCATTAAAAGAATACTTTCGGCCAAAAAGAGAATAAAAGCTAAGATGGAATGACCCTTAGACATTGATAAGCTTCAGTTCACAAGTGTTACATCACTGAAAAAGGTGATATTGCAGGGAAAATCACATATAATAATGGATATTACCAAAATACTTTTAAGAATATTTTTAAATCATCCAATTCCGATAGTCGGATTATTTCAAAAATACAAGGCAGTGAATCAAAACAAAATTGAAAATGTTTAGTATGAGATAAAAATTCATAATTAAAAATAATTTATCCATACCTTCCTTATGATGGCAGCAGGGTCAGTTTCCAAAATATTATCTTCAGCAAATGGTGTCAATCCCATATCTCTGTAAATTCTTATAGCATAATACAAACTAGCAAACTGCAAAGCTAATGGTACACTGGGAAGTTTTTTGAACAGCGTTTCAGCATCTTCTGGCTATAAAAACAATATATTTAAAATAAAAATAACATATTCATATTTGCCCCCCCCCCCCAAAAAAAAATATTTTCCACTTATAAAAGTAAAAATATAACACATAAAATTATGATTAAAACCAAGGAATGCAAAATTAAAATATGGAACACTTAATGAAAAATTTATATAAAATTTTCATATACAAACGTATATAAAATTTACACACTTAATGAATTATACTAATTTATACACTTCATAAATAAAAATTTATTTAAAATTTTTACATTTCAGTTTATTAATAAATTACCTGACAAAATAAATACAAAATTCAAATTATGAATAAATATAATTTCTGCAGTTCCATATATTCATTATGATATATTTATATGTATTGCATTTTGTTTTCATTTTCAATAAAATTATAGACACAAGCTGTTACAATTTGAAAAGTTTGAGAGATCTTGATAAGTCTAAATTTCCAATATCTCACTTTTTAGATTTTATCACATATAGTTATTTAGCCCTCTGAGTTGCACAGTATCTTGGATCTGCTCATGAATACTACATTCAAACAGCTTCTATTAGCTAAATTTGACAGTTACTTATTTTAACCTGCATTTTCATAACCTTTCATTCATTACGATAATATTTCATAACCTCTCATTCATTATAATATTTCATAACCTTTAATTCATTATGCGGTATATCGAGAACATCGATGTGTATATCATAATCGGACTTTAAGCTGGCACAACACCAAGCATCGAAGCGCGTGCAGTAAAAAGAAAAGGACTGGAATGTGAGTAGCTGTAGATATAAGTGTGCATGTGAGTGATGACATATTTTGTATATATATTAAAAGTAGCACGTAATTTAAAAGAGTGTATCTTGTGAAATAATTACCCACTAAAGGAAATACAACACATTATGATGATATTCATTATGATACATTTATATCATTAAAGAAAGGAAGAAAATACAATAATTATAAACTAATACATAAGAAACAATCTCATGATCAGGTTAAAGGTGGTCATGCCACTTAGGGAGTTAACACAATACCTGTACATGTTCTTTTTCTAAAATCTTACATAATATCCACATAATGGTAGTAACAAGAAAGACCTCAAAAAAAAAATATTATGCAGTTTCTAATCTCGAAAAATAAATGGCAAAATAATTTTGAACATAACAGACTGACTAAAAATTGTATGCGCCAAATGTAATGTTTTATTACAGAATGACAAAAATATATCCAGTCACCATTCAAATCTGAAATGTATTTCTCAAGCTACACTAAAATATCTCAGCTTTATGATAAAATATTGTTACGTTTTTTTCTGACACCAGTTGTTACGTTACTTTCTTCCTTCATGTTCGTACGAGGTTCGTAGACTTGGAGTGAATAACGACGACACTTGATGAAGTATTGAAACACACTTTATTTACCAATATTAATCAGGACAGCTCCAAAATCATTTTTACAGTCGTCGAACTGTTATAAACACGCTGACACGTTCAGCGACACAGCCTTCCCACTGTTAAGCAATAATGGTAGAGACAACTTCACTGCAAAGCACCAGATTACAGCTCCCGACTCTGCTCGGTCATTTTCTGAATTCCACGTACTCTCGAGACTCTTCACGCTACAACTAGTGATGCACTTGATGACACACAGAACACAGCTTCTGACTCTTCAGTTCAGTCGTTCGTAGAGCTTAACACACTCTCTAGACGATGCACTAACCGCAATATACTAAGAGACTCTTCGATGCACTCGAGGACCCACTCGGCACTTGCTGCCCGGCTGTTAAATCGATCAACTCCATACGGATTGACTAACTATCGCACACTAGACGAGGCACACACTCACTGAGTGTGGATCAGCAGGGTTTATATAGCTTTTGGCTTGTGTTTGAGAACATTCTGGGCTAAACCGGTAAGAATTCGTTCCGGAAGGTTCTTCATCCGTCCATGGTATATCGGCAATTTTGCCATCAAATATTGCCAAACGGGCAATTTCTTGCCAAATGTGGCAAACCTGCCATTTTATGGCAACCCTAAAAATGCTTTGTGGGAAAACTATCTTATCGCGCCTGTACAATTCGTAACATTAAACAGAAAATTTTTTTTAAATTGACACGACTTGCTGAAGATATCTGTTTGAGAGCAAAGATTTCAGTTTCCATAGATGATATTTTAGTTCCTCCAAAACCAATATGTTGCTCTAGAATATACTTACAGAGTGGAAGGCATTTAAAATCTTGCATCTAAAATCTATGAATAATGTATCAAAATCTAATTTTTTCTTATCTTGTTTCTACTTTAAAAAACTTCTGCTCTCTTCACATTTTTATTTCACATTTCAAATAATGGAATTATATGAGTGGCACATTAGGTATTTGCCAAAATTTTGGTGAGGAACCTCTTAATCTGGGAGCATGCACGATGAGTTACATCAGCTTGAGCACTGGGTCCAAAGGACCCGATTCGTGTTTTTTGAAGAAAAAAATTGTAAATATTCATAAAAAGTGTTACATTTAGCCCAATAAAAAATTTGATGATCAAGCTTCAAAAATATACACATTAAAATTTAATTTTTCCAAATGCTTTTATGAAATAAAATTTCCTAAAAGAATAGAAAATCATACTATATTGGCAGGAAATGTCCACCTGCAGTAAGACAGCTTCTCTGCAAAGTGAATTTAAGGTTGCCAGAAAATGGCAAGGAAAGGAAGGGTTGCCATATTTGGCTCAGAATTGCCCATTTTGCAACATGTCATAAATAGAACAAGAACATTCCAAAATGAATTCTTACTGTTTTACCCCAGAATGTTCTCGAAGGCAGGTCAAAAGCTATATAAACCCTGCTTGTACACAGAGTATCGTGAGCTTTATCTTGAAGAGCCTCTTGAATGTGTTCGGATTGAAAAGCGATCAACCGAGTAGGTGAATCTGTCTTCACCGTTATAGCTTGAAAGTCAGGAGGCTGTGTTGCTGATTATTGCAATGTGTCTGTGATAGTTTTTTTATGGCTGTAAATGTGTCTTTAGAACTCTCCTGTGTAATACTGATGAATAAATGGTGTTTCGTTTCTTCATCAATCATTCTAAATTCACGAACCTGTAGAATGTAACAATATATTAGCATAGTAAAAATATATATATATATACATTTACTCTGGATCAACTTTTTATTTTCTTTATTGGCACTCTAAACACAAAGAAAAAATGCAACAGCAAATGTTAGCGCACTAAATAAATATTGTTGTGTGCTCCAAATGCAAATATTTTTAACATTTGGTGCAGCGTACTTTCGTTTTTTTCTTCTTTTTCGCTGTGCAAACACTGCACCTTTTTCCTTTTCCCCCCATTTCAAATATTTTTTTTCTAATAAAGCAATTAATATCATTCTCACTCTTGTTTTTAGAATCTATATCAATTTCTGAACTTGTATCATGTGAACTAAAAATCAATGATCCCTTCCATTCTTCTTTTCTACAATACATTCTTCGCCAGTTGATACATCTAATAACTCTTGCAACATTTCTTCCTCGTAAGCTAAATTATGCAATATGTTTACCGCTTTCTATACTATCACAAATCAACAATGTAATCATAATATGAATAGGCATGTTGGGACTAAAAGACCTGATCCGATCAAAATCAAGACTCTGAATTAAAGCTCCAGAGAAAAAACTTCCAAAACATAAAAAGGTCAACCTCAGACATGACTAGACTGGACTTCAACAACTTGCATAAAACAGGCGTGCTTTGAGAAAGGTTTGTTTACTTGTGGGTCTACTGGACCGAGTGCGAGTGCTCGTGGGTTAATAGTGATGACTCGTGTGAAGATGGAAAAGTCATGATTCTAGTGTTAGTCATGATTCTAGTTGTGAAATATTCTTTAAAATAAAAGGTTATTTTCATCTCTTTCATACTACTTTTCAAAATTAATATTTGTCATCAAGACAATGCATTGAAATCTCTCTTATTTATAAAAGTGGTTCTTTCTTTGAGAACATGCAAATAAAACATTGATTTATACATTTAAAATCTTAGAAAGAAAGTATGAGTTTGTGGATTGTAAGAGAAATATAAAAGAATTTTACCTTTTTCAAACACAATAGAATACACAAGCTAAAAACAATGTCCTCCGAGATGCAAGCTTTAGCCAAATCCAACAGAACTGGAATACAAACATAAAAGTTTTGTTAACAGTTCTCTTGTATATTATGATCTACATTAATGTAACTTCTATATATATATTCTTTTCGTACTTGATTATGAAGTAATTTCTTACAGAAAAAGATTACAGTGGAAGAAGCACATAGCTATTTCTTTTTTAAAACTATTCATATCTCAAGAAGTTTTAAGCATTTATTTTTTAATTATTGTTGAATAAAACAATATTTCAATTTTATGTTAGCTTAGCCTAATGTATGACAGTCACAGAAGATACACCAAACGTCACAAGATGATTTACAAATTCATGAAAAATTAACAAGTGTTTCAGATGGATGTGAATTTTGGTTGTGTCATGAATCTGAAATTTCTGCCATAAATTCATATTTTTCTTCCAGCAAAAACACCAATAAAAAAGTAATTTAGTCTATCGCATAATGTGAATGATATTTAATGAAAGAAAGTTTGCTGAAAAGTTGCACAATTGCTTCATTATGCAGTATTTCCCACTATCAAGTATTCAATGCATTTCTTACAATGGTGGGCAAAGGGTACTTTGGGCCACTTGAGATCTCACAGACAGACTGTTTTTGGTTGAACCTTGCATAAACCTTAAAGCATCACCTAAAGGTGACCCTGCTCGCGAGGCCACAGAATCTTCCTCGAAGGACGATTTTAGGGCGAGCTGTCCAATATTTTAATTTGGTTAATTAATTGAACGAATAGAGCTCCGAAAAGAGCACTGAAGTGAGTGTTGCTAGGAAACACGTAATAGAGTAAAAGATTTTGCCTACAATTAAAAAACACTAGATTCTGACTACCTTAGCAGATTTAGCATTATCCAGGGTGAACTATATGGTGTTTCTTCCGCCTTCTTAGCATGCCTTCATGGTGTAATGGTTTGCACACTCAGTGCGTATTGGAGAGGTCCCAAGTTCGAGTTCCAACGAGGGCACTGCACATTTTTCACCTCTCCTGCTTTAAAAAATTACCTACTGTTTCTATAGTGGCACCCAAACTAAGTTAGTGGATGATGACTCTGCACCACCAGGATTTGGCAATTGGGTCTTCTAATCCCCAGTCACCCTTTGAAAGGGGGAGTATTTAAGGTATTTCTCCCACCTTCTGAGTATGCCTTTGTGGTGTAATAGTTAGAGGTCCCAGGTTTGAGTCCCAACAAGGGCACTTCACATTTATCTCTCCTGCTTTAAAAAAATACCTAATGTCTCTACAGTGGCGCCCAAACTAAAAAAGGTGGTGCAGGATTTGGCAATTGGGTCTCCTAATCCCCAGTCACCCTTTAACAGGGGGGGAGTATGTAAGGTATTTTTCCCGCCTTCTCAGCATACCTTTGAGGTGTAATAACTCGGTGGGTATTCAAGAGGTCCGAGGTTCGTGTCCCGGTGAGGGCAATGTTCATTTTTCACAACTCCTGTACCAAAGATAATCTAATGCCTCTACAGAACCACAGAAAGGCCTGCTACTCTATACAAACAAGCAAAAAAAAAAAAAAAAAAAAACTTCCCTTCCTCCAAAAAAAGCAAAAAGAAAAGAAGACATGAAATGAAATACAGATTTGGACCCTTCCTTCTATTGTGAACCAGTTAACCCAAAAAAAAAAAAAAAAAAAAAAAAAAAAAAATACTGCAGTGAAACAAAGATACAGTTGTTGGTCTGGTCCTGGTGTTTCATTGATCCCACTCTGGGCACCAGATGTTCGTCATTCGAATTTTAGGCAAGATTCCAAGGTAAAAATTTAAAAATAATATAGAATAAACATATCAGCAGGCAGCGAAGAAAATAACGTAGAAACTTCTTTTCAAACAATTCCTTTTATATTTTAAAGAAAAGATCTGGAAGATTTCTTTGAAAGTTGCTGTTACATCATGAAGGCGTGCTGGAAGAAGGTAGAAAATATATTATGTGTTTGTGTAAAATGAATACATCATGTCCTAAATGAAGTTATTACTTCTTCACACTGAAAGTAATCATTTGCTTTGACATAAAAAATTGGCATGTGCTTCTTTAGTAAGATTTCATAAATATTAAATTTCTGGCTGTGATTATAATCCTGTATTTTTGATAAGATTTATTCATTAACCTTGACACGATTCTCAATGAAATTCAAATTTTTATTTCTCAATCTTTCCATAACAAAAACTATTCCTGAGGAAACATATTAATTTTCACCATACTTGAACGAACATAATGAACTAGTTGCCAAATAAAGAGCTAATTCATCTTTTCATCTTATTCATCAACACAAAGTTAGCAAAAGAAAGGCAGCTCACAAATTTAGATCTAAATTCTAAATTATTCAAAAAATAAGTTGAGTTTTTAGAATTAAATATTAAACCTGGGAAAAACTTCTCTTCTGCAGAAGAAATTTATAATAGTATATCAGAGGAAACTAATTATTGTTTCAAATGGACAGCCACCCTGATCAATATAATAGTTAATGCTGCATTAAGCCATACCGCTGGACCTAAGTTCCAATCATAGAGAAGGCACAGATTAATTTAGAAATCAAACAACAAAAAACAGCATTATATTTGCAAATTTTCCAGGACTAGTTTCGATCATTCTACTGAACATCTTCCTCAACTGCCAAACTGCAAATGAACGAGATAAAATCTGGTGATAAGGTAAAAATGGCTGGACAAAAGTTAAGTTACTGGCATCATCTATTGATGAAACAAAAAAACTAAAACACAATTTCCTTAAAGGCTGAAGGTAAAGATGGATTGGAATTAGGGTCGTTAAACTAGAAAAGAAAGATTTCTTTGAATGTGAAATGCCTGTAGAAAATCTAATTCACCAATGGAAGATGCTTTTTGAATAATTCTGGCTGTAATAAAATGGAAAGTGTGCTTTTCGGATGACCAATGTAAATTAAAACGCACTGGAAAGGAATCCTGTAAATACCACGGGAATTCATATACGGAATCGGGTCCTTAAGTACGGAACTGGCAATTTTATTGATAGGAGAATAAACGAACCAAAAGTTAATTTCTGTAAAACTTTGATATAGCCTTTGATCCCCCTCCTGGGAAATTTTCCATCACAACTGGGATGGAGCTGCGCAGTTAGCATGGTGGGTCTGTACCTGTGAGACTAATGATGAAATTCTGCTGTCTTGTTGTCTCTACCTGTTTAAATACCTGGGCACTTAAGACATAATATATTTGTTGAGAGTATTGATAATTTAGCTGGTAGTAATTGCCAAGCACCATATAATTCATGATGCAGTTGGTTTCCAAAATGACGAGATCTTCGCAAAAAGGGTTCAGAATGCAAAGACAGTAATGCTTCTCAAAGTAACTTTCTTAACTTCCTCTTAAAGTAACTTTTCTGACGGTGTGCAATTTTATAGCTAAATGATGGAAAGAAAGAAATGACAACAGATTTCTTACAGTCTCCTAGAACAAGAATGTGCCTTTTGGTGTGTTGAGATGAGAATTTTTTAATTGCTTGGTTAATAATTTTGGGTGAAAAGCCCTGTGAATAGCAACTGATATTAACTAATTTAGTTCTCAGTCAAGGGCCAATATGGAAAAGCAAACTTGAAGTGCACGGAAAACAAAAGAATAAAATGAAGCTAACTACTGTTTAGTCAGGTGATATAATTTTGCATGTATTTTACAGAAATTTAATTTTCAGGTCATTTATTGTCCTATCAATAAAATTTCCAGTTGCATACTTAAGCGCTCCATTCTGAATATGAATTCCTGGGGTATTTACAGGATTGCTTGCCAGTGTGGTTTAATTTACATTAGTCAAACTAAGAGAACCTTAAAATATCACATTAAAGAACATGTGGTATATGTTAGAAATGCAAAATGAAAAAGAAAATGCAGAAGTCCTATGTTGCTCAGCACTGTTGGTCTCAAAATCACACTATCCAATTTTTCTGCAGCCAAAATTATTCAAAAAACATCTTCCATTGGTGAATTAGACTTTCTAGAAGCATTTCATGTGAAAAAAAAAAAAAAAGTTAAGACTTTCTAGTTAATGACCCTAATTTCAATATCTTCAGCCTTTGAGGAAATTATGTTTTAGTTTCCTTGTTTCATCAATAGATGGCACAGTAGCTTAACAGACATTCTTATCTTATCACCATATCTTATCTCATTCATTTGCATTCTGGCAGCTGAAGCAGATGATTCAGTAAAAACACTGAAACTAGCCCTGGAAAATTTGAAAATAAAATGCTGATTTTTGTTGTCTGACTTCTAAATCAATCTTTGTTCGTCGTGTTATTTTAACCTAAATTAAAGGCATAGATGTTTAAGTGTATAGTGTCTCTACAGCAAGTGGCATTTAAAATATAATGACAAGCTGAAAAACTCTTGAGTGTTTTGGAGGTATAGGAAGAAGGGTGGGAGAGCCTTTGATCCCCCTCCTGGGAAATTTTCCATCACAACTGGGATGGAGCTGTGCAGTTAGCATGGTGGGTCTGTACCTGTGAGACTAATGATGAAATTCTGCTGTCTTGTTGTCTCTACCTGTTTAAATACCTGGGCACTTAAGACATAATATATTTGTTGGGAGTATTGATAATTTAGCTGGTAGTAATTGCCAAGCACCGTATAATTCATGATGCAGTTGGTTTCCAAAATGACGAGATCTTCGCAAAAAGGGTTCAGAATGCAAAGACAGTAATGCTTCTCAAAGTAACTTTCTTAACTTCCTCTTAAAGTAACTTTTCTGACGGTACCGCAGAGATCTATCAACAACATCTTACTGTAATACAGTCAAAAGTCGTTAATTCGGACACTCATAATCCGGAATGATCTATAATCCAGACCACAAAGCTACAAACTTTCTGTGCATGCGTCCCATTGATGCATGCGCGTAAGACCTTTATGGCTGCGAATATGCGTGCGCGCATGCGCAAAATACGTTTACGAATGCGCGTTTAATGTATAACGGACGGTATACGCTAAGCTAAAATTATCTAATTCAGTTAATGTTGCAGATTGCGTTGTTCCTTAATCTTCGAATTGGATCCGGCGTATTATTTTTTGCAGACTGTTAGAGCAATTTCATAAAAGTAAGCTTGAACTTTCGATTATGTCAAATAGAATTTCTGATATATATTTACTAATATGTAAAGGATCTACAAAGCGAATGTATGTTTCGAAGTCCATTAAACAAAAAGTGGAACTGCTGCAAAAAATGGATAAAGGCATATCCTTTGTTTAACATAACCATTCCGAAATCTGTTTATCAATTTCACGCTGCTCTGCATCGGTGGGGGGAAATGTTGCGGCACGCTATGAACTGGAAGTTGATCTGTCAGCACTATCCATATCTTCAGGGCAGATGCTTTTATTTTATTTGGCTTATAATTCCTTACTAAATGTAGTATTTCATCTCGATGTACTCCGTCTTTGATATGATTTAAATCAAATTGCTCGTCATTATAATTCGCTTCCGATAGCGAAGAAAGTGACAATTAGTTGGTATTCTCGACACAAAAATTATAGGACTTGAACAGTGGAACTTTGTAACTGAACAAGAAATTATGTCTGTTTATAGAATTAAAGAGAATGTATTATCAGATAAAAAAACAAAGCAACTTAAACAACTTACATTGAAAGAAATGTTTAATAAAGTAAACAAATAAATATTAAGCTTTTTTTTTTTTTTTTTTGTAAATTTTGATACCCTTTAGATCATAATTCTTTATTTCATAAATTACGGTTTCATATTTTTAATTTTATAATATCTGCATGCCATCTTACCAGATTTAAACTGATGGTCTATAATCCGGAAAAATCGATAATCCGGAATCGCCGAAGTCCCGACAAGTCCGGATTAACGGCTTTTGACTGTATCAAAAATTTGACAGGACTGAATGGTATCCCAACATTGGACTGACCACAAAGAAGCAAAAGGCAATATGTTTCTCTTTATCAAATCTACAAATTCATTACACTTCATTCCCTGCAATTTTTTTTTTTTTTTTTTTTTTTTTTTTTGTAGTAGGTTGTTAAAGATATTATTTTGTGTTGCCATTGCCATCTAAACATAAAAACTAAAAATATGTTTAAATCTTTATTCATACTATGGCATCAGATATGCTTCAATGAGTATGGATTGAAATGGACTACAGACTAGAATATGAGTTAGATTACAAAAGGATTGCACATAGAGCACTCGAAATGAGTGAAAAAAAATGAGAATGAAAATTTTATTTGTAGTATCAATGGTATATATGCATCAATCATATTGAATACAACTATTATTTGTAATGGATGATTCTTTTTGACTTTCTCTTATCTTCAGCAAAAAAAAAAAGCAGTAGCACAGTAAATTAATAAAAGAGCAATTTTCTTTTTTTTCTTTTTGTGTGTGTGTGTGTGTGTGTATTTTTATTCTTTCTTTACACACACATCAAAGAAGTGATTTTATGCACTTCCATATTATACATGATTTGAAATTTCAAGCAACATATAAACTTGACAAGAGAACAAATAAAAAAGTCGTCCAACTGGTAGTGGTTAGTATCGCTGACTGCCGTGCCAAAAGGCCCAGGTTCGAATCACGGAGAAGGTATGGATGTTTGTAAATGTATAGTGTCCATGTGGCATGGAGGCCCTCTAAATATGCGGCTAGTCGAAAGTCTTCTCAAGAGTTTAGTGGTAGGGGAAGAGGAGTGGGAGACCCTCGAACCCGTGCCCCTGGATGCCGTCCATCAAAATTGGGGGCGGAACTGAGCTAAATCACAAAGCTCAAAGCTGCTGCCAATGACAGAAATATTTTGCGTTCCTTGCCACGAGGAATTTCGTGGGCTTGGTCTCGTTATAGGCACTAGACAAGTGAGCACTAGTCAACAACAACAAATTAAAAAAACCCATTTTATATAATTTAAACCTAAAAAATAAACTCCATTTTCAAACAAGATATTAAACAAATTCATCTGAAAAGGAAAATATCTTTCTGATTAATATGAGATTAAAATACTTTGTAATTTTGTAATAGTTTATTTAGTTCACATATTGGTACAAAAACAGACTACTAACACATTGCAGTAAATTTTGATTTTAGAAACCTTAAGTAACTAAAAGCAGCTGCTTACTGGATGTTTCTAAGGATGACGCAGCTGTCTCAAATTTTAGTGAATCTTCTAGAAGCGCAGCACGCGTAATGCACAGTGTGATTTCTTGACTCTGACTAAGATCAGGTCTTGCAAAACGCTGGTAGTTTGCTTCAAGCTACAGACAGGGGAGGAATAAAAGACTTAATTCTCCAAAATATTGTACAAAATAAAATTTTTTGCATTAGAAAAGACATCAAACTAATTATACTCACATATATTTATGATTCTGGTATCCATCATGTTAAATGTTTTGTGATCATCATCAGTATAAGACAAATATTCCCTTATCAGAGGTGCCAAATAATCATTTTTCTAGCACTGTCATTAGAAAAATGATAATTGATCATTCATGTGTATTCTTCTTCCTTTTGCCAACAAGAATCAACATAATATTCATAAATTTTCAGGACTAGTTTTGAAGGTTTATATATATTAGAACCTTCTTCTTCAGTATTTCATATTATCAAAAATTTTCATATTATACAATGCATTGTCAACCCAGAAGGCATGCACTAACAGAATGCACTGTCCCGAGGGGATGGGTGATTTGTGCTGCTAAGCCCCACTTTGGAAAAAAATTTGAATAAATTAAATTTGTGGTCCCATTGCTTAGTTTTTGATACATTATGAAGGAAGCACTCAGACAAACTTTATCATTATACTTTCCTTAAAAATTTTATAAAATAATCAATTTTAGAGTAGTAAAATTTGATTTACCTCAAATATATATATCTGAAAAAATATCCGAAAATCACAAAACATACAGATAAAAATTACTGAAAATTTCTTTCATAAAAGAAACACATATATAAATTTTTATTCACCTTAAGTAAAAAAATCTAAGAAGAATAAATAAAACCCCTAAAATGATAGAGCATTTACCCTGCTATACAACCCCCCCCCCCAAAAAAAAAGACCAGTTAAACAGCCATTAGAATGCTTAACATCCATGAATCTGACTCTAATTCTGAAACAAAATAACAAAAGTAAAAAAAACATTGAAAAGAATAAAGGTCACCATGCTTCACTTTCCATAAACTCCACTGTAACAGACATACAGGTATATTGAAGGCAATGAAGGCATACAGGCAACGAAAAATACTAATTAAATAATCTATTTAAAAAATCATACACAGCACACCTCCACAGAATGAAATTTACCAAAGAAAGTTTAAAAATTGCGCACTTTTTTTATTATATATTTAAAATCAACATATATATTAATCAACAGTTAAAATATACAAATATTTTTTTTTTAATTTAGATCATTTAAAAAAAAAAAAAAAGTTGTCAGAAGACTGAAATTGAAGAATCATTATATAAAGTAAAATTTTAAAAATTAATCTTGTTTAAATTAGAATTTATTTTATGAAATATAAAGATAAAATGTATATACTAATGAAAATATGCAAAATGCTTTCAAAAATATTATTAGAAATGAAGTTTAATCTGATAAACTTAAAAACAAGGACTGAGACAAAGTTCTACCTCGCAATCTTTGCGAATTTTTTTTGTCAGTTTTTTTTTAAAGCAACAAACAGCACACTATCTATGAGGCTTTCTTCATGGGATTGGGGTGGGAGGGTATATGGTTAGCAAAATATTGAGCAGTTAGTCTCAGAGTATTGACAGTTGAACTACAGACATCTTTGAGCTTTGAAAAGAGAGCGCAAAATGTGCAACACATTCTTGTATATTTTGCAGAAATAAGGACAACAAACACTATCACAGAAAAGCTGAGATAAAACCATGAACGGGAAAAGAGCGGGTTGCAAAGTTAAATAGATGGAAAAAATTCATCCGCGCGGAAATCGCGGGTTGCGCAAATTTTGCTACTACGTTGCCCGTGAAAAATCATGAGATATGCAGCGAGAGGGTTAATTAATTGCATATACAGTGATAAGTAACTTATCACTGTATATGCAATTCTTAACATATTACTGTATATGCAAAATGAATATGGATTTTCAGCATTTACGGGAATACTGCAACTAAATAAAGCACAAAATAACTCTTCAAAAAGGAAGTAAGATGGCACAAACACAGCAAAAATATATTCAGATGATAGCATAAATATACAGTACATACAGTATAATAAGATCAAATACATAAATATATAGTATAATAAGATCAATGAAATATAATAAAAGTATACAATTCAGATGAAATAAAATTTAATTAAAAAAATGCTCTGAAAATTCCTAGAAATGAGACAGTGGAATTTGTCTAATCTCAGTTTTGCTAATACAATGAATTTCATTTATTGCTGCGTTCTTCTTAATAGGCTGAAAATTAAAATCAGGAGATTTATGGATCTATCAACAGATTAGATGTGATGAAAAGCCGAGAATCTCCAGATAAAAAGAGTTGACAGCTAAAATTACATTCATATATGTATAAGAATACACACACACATACAGTTTTATGAATTCCCAGAACAAATAATGTCTGAAGATCACTGCAAGAGAGAGCTGAAAAGACACTTACAGCACTAAGATGTGCATTCTCAATTAGCCCATCATAGAAAGCACAGATGCCTTGTTTGGAGAGGCTTTTATTGTTATCTTCAACAACATCAGCTGCTTTTTCCTCCCAAGTTAGAGCCAGAGGTTGTATCCAACTATAAAATACAACACATCATTTAGTTTAAAGAAGTTTACTTTACTTTTAATTAACAAATAAGAAGCCAACTTAAAAGGCCAGTCTCCGAACATAAAATTCGATGAATTTCAAAAGACATTTATGTAGGGAAATAAATCTTTTTTCTGCTTAAAATATCTTAACAAACAAAACTCTCATTTTAAATTTTCACCCTGAATTTAATCAGTGAAAATACATTACCATTTACAAAGGGGTATTAAAAATTTTTGCAACAGAATATACTCTTATAAGAAACATTTTTAATGTAGTTTTGCTCTTTTTTCTTAGTTATTATTATTTTAAGAGAAAATAAAACACCAGTTATAAATAAAAGTAACAAAACTAATTCATCCACAGACACTGATCTCTAATGATACAGTGAATAATGGTAGGGAAAATAAAACTAAAGAGATGTTACATAGAATTACATGAGTAAGGAATTCTATCAAATACCATTTAGATGGCCCCTTTCATGCAATTGTTTTATTGTAATTAAGAGTAGTTTTTTCCTTTATAAATAAGCAATATGTTTTAAACCAAACAACTAAAAAAACTTTTTTTAAAGATTTATCTGAGCTATCCTAGCTAATTTTAAGACCTCAAGTTTAAAATCAACTTCAGTATGATGTTTCATTTTTTGAAAAACTAAATGTAATTTAAAGGATCTCAATATTTCTTCCTTGAAGTGATTTTTTTTTTCTGACAAAGTTATCAGTAAGAAGAATTAGTGCCCACAACCATGCATTTATAAAAGACTCGCAAATTTAATAAAAAGCCCACATAAAGCAAATAACAGCAGGAAATGTGGATCAATTTTATTAAAGCACATTTCTTTATTATGAAATACATAGTGAATAACAGACATAAGAATAGGATTAAATATACTGATATGAAAGTCAAATAGAAAGTATTGTCTTATTGATGAACAGATTTACTTATATAGCAGTTAAGTAAAATAACTAAAATATTAGAAACAACAATGGCACTGCTTTGGATTATTCTGCTTATGGTAAAGCACAACCTGGCTGTTTATCGAAGAGGAGGATTAATTCATGAACAGATTTCTAACAGCAACAATGGGAAGAGTCCCCTGAATAGGATCCCCTATAGGATCATAAACCAATACTTCTGAATAATTATAATTAATAAATTACAGCCATTTTAAGTAGTTAAAACTAATAAACTTTCTTATTTGGTGAGCAGTTAAATGCCCTAATGACTTAACTAATTTATTAAAAGAAAATGCAAAATACAAAACTACACATAATACGTAACTATATTTTTTTATGCTCAACATGCATTTCTTTTTTGGCTCATGCCTCACTCTTCTAGTAGTGTTGTTGCTCAGTGTCAGATCAAGGTGTTTTCACAAGCTTGGATGAGAGCATAGACTTTGATACAAAACATCAGGAAAAGACTACTTATTTGTCTAATTTAGCTCAAACGGATAATATATAACCTCTGAAAAAGCCATTTATGCAATATCACATTTCTATATATGTGCCATTGCTGACTGCAGCAAATGAGTAAGTCATCTGACATTGCAAACAATACTGCCTCTTGCCACATTATCATACACTGCATCTCGCTTAGCAAATGAAACTAACTTCTTTCAATTAAAATGGAATTTGAATACAGTCAATGTGAAGCTGATGTGTGTAATGGTATATGGATGCATTGACAGAGAGGTTATGGACTCAGCAAACTAATGGCTAAGCATTTTCCTGAGGCACACTACATTTCTTGCTGTTTTTTCTTAAATGCAGTATATTACCATCATATGCTATTTGATTATCTAATTGTTTAAATCACCTTTATGCATTCTGAAGAACGTTTTGTTTCAACAGGACAGCAAATCATTCCATGGTAGGGGCATAGAATAATTACCACTCCCACTCCCACTACCACTTGGGCATGGTTCTGGGATGTTACAGAAACACATTTTTAATTCTAGGTTATTCACTGGCCTTTAAAATACCTAGCTTTAAGTTTTATTGAATCCCTTTAGGACGCTATAGCGTGAACATTAAATCTATGTGCAAGGACTGACATTCTCAAGTGGACTTGGAGACAATTCTTCTAGAAATGACAAGGAAAGCAATCCATTCTGTAACTGATGGAGTCTATACCATCAGTTATGCCTATGTCTTGAAGCATGCATGCTAGAAGACGATCAGCATAGAGTTTGTAATACTTCTAATGTTCTGATGCTTTATTTATTCAAAGTGTTATCAAGGAAATCACTCATTTATAACCAATTGTTAAATTCTTTCCAAGCAGCATACCTTCAAATAAACTTAAAGACTTGCTACGCAATACTTTCAGTGCAAAACTACATGCAAAATCGAAACAAAACCTGAATGCAAAAGAATGACACCAGATTGAGTACATATGCAGGATACCAAGCATAGAAGAACTGATACAAGCATAACTTGAACCCATAATGGGGAATGGTAAAGAGGCAGATTAAATTGAAGCTGATTTAGAAGAAAATAGTGGAAGAAAAAAAGCAACAAAAATAGATGGCATAGATGCAAATAAGCTTGAAAAGTATTTACATCACAAGGAACAAAGGGGAAAGTTGAATGGCTTGCTCTCCATCTTAGCAGATGTGAAAATTCTGTGTATAGAATAAACTGATCCAGATCAAAGCCAAATAAAAGCTACAGAATGGTACTAGATTAACAGTTCAGAAACTGTACCTAGATTTTCAACAAAAAACATTAGTAAGTGGACAAGTTTTTTTTTTTTTTCCCTTAATGGTGGTCACTAGCCATTTCAGGCTTTTGCAGTTGCTAAGGCCAGAAGTGGTGGTCATTTTATTATGGAGGTAATTTATAGGCGGCCACCATTGCCTTCTATGAAGAGACAGACAATTTACACCCATGCTTTCTCTGGGATTCGAACCCACGCCTTTCGGTATAGCAATCGGCTCCCCTAACCACTATATCACATGGGGAGCCCATAAGTAGACAAGTTAAATCATACAAGATTAGGTTTCATTTTGCATTTTACAATCATAAACAATTATACTAAAAATTTGTTAAACTAAAAGGTGGTAAGAAAAATGAATACTTTTTTTTAATAAACTAATGGAGTATGAAATGCAATGATATAATAGCCAACTATAAAGTCTAAAGTACTAACAGATTTATGTAAATAATGTTAAGAAAATATGGTAAAAATATATACACATGTATAAATTTTTCTTTAATTTAAATAATTATTCCATTTTAGATTATAACATGTAATTAATTTCATCTTTCAATGATAACCCTTCCGTTCCAAAAGTAGTTAAATTTTTTATACATTCAGAAATAAGTTTAATAAAATTTATTCTTATTTTTTAAATATCCATATAATTTTTAGCCTATGGTTATTATTATTTCAAGTTCCCATTGAACTAATATGTAAGGACTGCATTATCTGGTGAAGGTAACTTACCGGTTCTTGTTAGAAGTTAATACATTCTCCACAGAATATAAAAGCAGCGAAAAGAGTAAAGATGGTTGGGATAAATATCTTGAGAGAAATCAACAAAAAATTTGAACTTTTACAAAGCTATTTATGATGAATTTAAGATAAAAGGATACAAAGATATAACTTTCTAAATACAGTGAAAATAACACAAGAATTGAAAAGTTATGAAATAAACTATGTAAAGTAAAGAAAAAATATCACATTAAGCTTATATATTTCAGAAAGCAAATAAAACACCAAAATTTCAAATGAAAGTGTAAAAAAGAATGCAACAGCTTCACACTGCTAAAGAGCTATAAGGTATCTTCTCCCTCCTTCCTGCACGCCTTTGCAGTTTAATGGTAGCACACCCTGCGTGTATTCGAGAGGCCTAGGTTTGAGTCCCGGAGAGGGCACTGCACGTTTTCCATGTCGCCTACATAAAAAATCACTAATGATTCTACAGTAGTGCCCGAACTAAAAGGTGGTGGATGATGATTCTTCACCACAGGGATTTGGAGAATGGGTCCCCTAATCCCCCAGTCGTCCTTTAAAGGGGGAGTATATAAAATTATTTTTCTCTCCTTTCTGCATGCCTTCGTGTAATGGTTAGCACACTGGATGAATATTCGAGAGAAATCCTAATGACTCTACAGAGGACTATTAAATATATATCTCATGCTACAGCAAAAAATATGAATTAAGGGTAAAAGTGCTTTCTCAAACCAAGCAAAGGAAAGTTTTATATTTTTTCAGATAAATTATGAAGCCATATGAAAAATTATATTAACTTGATTACGTATTTTAAATGGAATCAAGCAGACATATTTTAGAAACCTAATACCTATTTCAGAAAATCCTGTTCATTTTTAACTGTTAAATTATGACATTTTTTATGTACAAGTATGCAAGTTTAAAGTAGTTTTGAAAAATATTTTGATTGTTTGTGTCTTACCATATAAGAAAGGTGGAACCCACCACTGCATTTAAGCCTTTCACATTACAGCAAATGATGAATATCAACTTTTAATGTGTGGTGAAGTACACAAAGAAACTGTAGGCATTCTGACCTGGCAATTTTTATCTCCTATATTACAGTTTCCTACATGTCCCACCACTTGACCTTTTGAAGTCAAGGATTTGTGTCCTGTAAGATCATTAAAAAGATAGGGGGTTGTACCTAATGCTTTCCCACTTTTAAAAAGTTCCTTGCTGTTGTCAAGAATGCCACTTTCAGGTAGTTTGATTCATCCTGGAGGAAAGGCTTTCCTTTACAAAAGAAAGGGAATGTAGGCACTCTTGTCTAAACTGTTTAGATGGTTTTCCTTACGAAGGGATAATTTAAAGATGCAACTGATTCCAAATCAGACTACTCAGTGATACACAGAAAGGAATGTATATGTATATAGATATAGAGAGAAAGTTGTGATTCTACTTCTCCATATTATAGCTTATAACTTTTTTAACAAGTTTACGAGATTTTAAGTAATGCTTTTAGTTTATCTTGCCAAATTAAGACCTTTATAAAGTGATAACAAAAACCAATTCTATTACATTTTGAAGTTATGTTATAAAATTTATAGATATTTTCAGTTTTTTTATTATTATTATTATTATTTATCTGACCTCCATCTAATTTTTGAATGCACCTAAATTTTTTTCATAGAATTCTTGAACATATATATTTTTTTTTAATTTACAAACATTCACGGTTTCGTAAACAAAGAAACATTATGCAAATGTTGCAGTAAACATAAACATTATTTACTGTCATATTTCCCTTTTAATTTGTTTTGCAGTATATTTTATTGAAGTTGTCCAAATTCTTTAAAATTTTCTGCATAGAAGGAATAGTTAAAAAAAATAAAATAAAAGATCATGGCTATATAAATTATTAAAAACTTAAACTACAAGGAAACGTTAAAATTTAAATTGCAGAAAAATTAAAATTTTAAGTCTAAATAAATATTAAAAATTTGCGTGAAAGTGTAATGCTTAAGAATGAAAACTGACAATTTAAAATATGCAGTGTTTAGTTCGAATATGACTTGTACTATACATTGTTCGTATATTTCATATTGCAAATTTTTTTTAGCAAATCGGAAGGAGAAATTTGTGCAGTGTATATAGTTTTCAAAGGAATGAGAAAAATTTACAAGGTAATTACAAATGAGTGGTTATCTTCGAATTTTGAAGCTGCAAGAATGAAAAAGGCAACAAACAACACAAAGGCCTTTGAAAGAGATAAATGGTTAAGACTCCATGGACATCAAACTTAACAGTTCACCCCACCTTTTCAGCTTGCAAAATGGGGGGGGGGGAGAAACAGCCACTAAAGTGGACAACCCCGTTCTTTTAAACAAGGAGTACCAAGGCCAATATAATGGCTATCCCATCCCTTAAAGGTTAAGTGGTGTATCGAAAAGTAGTTGTTTCAAAATTCTCATTTTGCTGTATCTCCAACAGCTCACCTTAAAGCAACATTGCAATTTGCCCTACCTCTAAGCTTTCATGCGCATTTACTTACTGACTTCTGAATTTTGGAAAATGGAAATATATGTGATTTTCTCATATTTCTTGTTGGGTTACACTGCAAGGTTTTGTCAGTTAATTGGATGAAAATCATTATTTTTAAATCTTTAACAACTCACCGCTACCATTATCTATAGGCTTCTAAGTGTATAGACTCACTGTTTTCTCAATTTTGGAAATTTAAAACATATTACACATTAATATTTTTTGTTTTGTTTTTATATTTCTTTTTGGGTTATACTGCACAGTGTTTCCATGTTAAGTAACTGTATCAGACTTCATCACTTAATT